TGATTCATATTTATAGTTTTCTTTAAATTTATCATGGCCACATTAGTGTTCCATGACTTTTAGACCGAAAACAAAGGTTATTAGTAATAGGATTATAATAAGTTTTTACATTTTTTTATTTTATTAACTTTTTTTATTAATTATATTTTTAATATTAATATTAATATTTTAATTAATATTTTAATTAATATTATTTATAATTCAAATTGTCTATAATATTTAAAAAAATTATTTATAATTAATAGTATATATATATTAATATATATTTTTATCAATAATAATTTTATATATTAAGAAGTATATAAAATAGATAAAAATAAAATTATTATTTATTTATAATAAAAATATTAAAAATACATTAATTTGAAGTCACAAACATATAAATGTCGTGCAATATAAATATATATATTAAATAAAATTTATATTTATATAAAGTATAGTTACATAATTTTAAATTTATTAAAAATTTATATTTAAAATTAAAAAATTTATAAAAAATAAAATTATATATTTTAATATATAATTTTCCTTTATTTTAAAAAATTTATTTATAATTTTTTTAATAATCAAATCTAATATATTAAGATATATTATTTTTTAAATAAATTTATAGGCTAAGTCCAAGCATTTGTATTTAAAATTTAAAAAAATAGTTTTTAATAATATTATTAATATTATTTATTTTTTCATAGAAAAATAGAAATATATATTATTGTACATTTAGCATAAAACAAAAAAAATATCAAATCATTTTTTAATTGTTATATAGTAAAAAATAATTAATTATAAATTTATTTTTTTTACAATTAATATATAAATTACAAATCTTAAATATGATTATTTTAAAAAATTAAATTTTTTCAAAATTAATATTAGAAAATATTAGAAAGAAAACAAAAAAAAAATTATAAAATCTTTATAAAGTTTTTTATTTAAATATAATAAATTTCATTAAAAACATAAATATGTTTGTATTATTAAAATTATAAAACATTTTTATTATATAATTTTATTATGATTTCATATTATTAAATAGATATATTATTTACATCAAATCAAAATAAATAAATCTATTATATTTATATTAATATTTATTTATTAATATAAAAACTAGTGATAAAATAATTAATATATTAATCTATAAAAAAAATAAAAAAAAATCTTAAATTAAAAATATAAATTATATCAATAAATATTATTTTAATAATTAAATAAAAAAAATTATAATATAAATAGTATATAAATAAAGCAAAATAATATTAACCAAAATATAAATTATAATAAAAATCCACTAAAAATTAATTATAACACTATAATTAATTTTTTTTATTTTTGTCCTAAAAGTACCTTAATACCAATATGCCCTCAATAAATAACAAATGAGCAAATATAAATATAAATCCTTCCCCCCTCTGATTAGGAATCTTTAGATATCCGTAATTTACAAAATATTATCCCCGTAGTATGATTATAAAGTAATATATACTTTATTTCTTAAGATTGCCTTATAATCATTAGAATAAAATTCTAAATGCTGCCTGCGATAAAGCTTTATAATTAGTGATTAAACATTTTTCTCGTTTAATAAAAATAATCCCGAAATCTGAATTAAATATGAGATTTAAAATAAATGAATTAAAATGTTAGAGAATCATAATTCCTTAAATAGACAGAGCTTTGAGAAAATAATCTGATTTACATAGATATATATCTTATATATAGGATCCATATAATTATTATTTAGTTATTAATAATATTTTTGAATTTGTGAATGGTCTAGGACCTAGTTATGGTTTGTTAACATTAATTTAGGTAAATTAACAATGAAAAAATATGAATATTACTGTTGATTTATAGAAATAAATAAAGATATAATAATATTTTGGGTTTTAGTGAATTCGATATGAATAGATGTGTCACTCCTTATAGATAACTTTATATTTAACCTAGTTTTATAAAAAAAAATATCTTTATTAAATGTTAATTTAGTCTTAGGAGGAATTAAAGTCATTTTCAAAAAAAAATTTCGAAAATAGACATTTTGATATATAATAGATATATTTAATGTCCTATCACAATTCTGTAGTGCAAATGGATATTGCATAAATAATAGGTTTTATTGTGCTTAAAGGAATTATTGGAATTAATTGAAAAATATTATTGTTTTTACTTTTAATTTAATTAAATGTAAATTGAAATTTTACATATATTTTTTTTATATTTACATATATTTTGTAAAAGAGAAATAAATATGTAATAATAACTATATAAAAATAAAATAAAAGAATAAAATATTATTTATTAAATTTTATATTTTTTGATTAAATATCTCATTTTTTTAAAAATATTTATGATAATTTAATAAAATATAATTTTTTATTATGTTAATATTAAAAAAGTTATTAAGAAAAAATAAAAAATTACATTATTTAAATGATTCTAATTAAATGATAAAATTATAAAAAACAATCTATTTAAATAAAAATATATGCATTTTTTAATAATAAAAATTATTTTACTATAAAAAATAGATATTATAATACTTATAATCATTATTAATAATCAAAAATTTAATATATGACAGAATTTTTAAGTAAAGTAATTCAATATAAAGTCTTGCAAAATTTTCAATTTAGAAATAGATATAGTTAAGTTAAGAAATAAAACAATTTTTTTTAAATAAGAAAATCAATTTCAGAAAATAATAAATATTTACTAGTTTCATTGAAATTTCAAAAATAATCATTATAAATATATTTCAAAACTTAAACTAATTTCCAATATAAAAACCTTTTTTTATATATTTTTTTATTTATAATATAGAAAATCTCACTATTAAACATGATATTAAGATATTCTTATTTCATTTTTAAAAAAAATATTGCTAAAAATAAATTAAATAAAATAAAATAAAATAAAATTAAACAACATTTTTTTATTTATATTTTATGATATAATAAATATAAAAATCAAAAAAATAAAAAAATGTATAAATTTTTACTTTAAGTTTAGAATTTAGTTTTAAATTATATTTTTATATGGAATAATTATGAAAAACATTCTTTTAAATAAAATAAATAATATTGATAAAAATTTGTTTATAATATTTATATTTTTGTATAAATATATATAAATATAAATGTATATTTATTAAGAAATATATATATATATATAAAAACAAATAAATGAATAATATATATATATATATATATATTTATCTTTTTTATATATATATATTTTTTTACTTTTAATAATATAATTTTTTAAAATTATATAATAATTTTTTAAATTTTTTTTATTTTATTTTTTATACTTATATAATTTTAATTAATTTTTTTACATATTTTTTTTAAAATTAAATATTAATATATATGATTATATTATTTTAAATTAATACATATAAAAATAAATTCAAATATATTTAATAATGAATATTATTTTATATAAAATAATTTTTTTATTCTTATCAATATATTGCTTTTATTTATATGATCTTTAATTTATTAGTAACTTCATTACAATATTAATATTATAAAATTAAATTTTTAAAAAATTATTACTCAACTATTTGTTTTTATTTATTTAATATTTTTATAATATTGTATAATATTATATGAATAATATTTTTTATAAATAATTTTTTTTAATACATATATTTAATTTATCATTTATTTAATTATATTTTATTTAAAATAAATTTTCTATTATCAAATAGAATACTCTTTTTAAATTTTTTTTTAAGATAAGTTATATTTTTTAAATAATAATCTTTATTTTTATATCTAATTTTTTTTTCAAACTAAGGACTTATCTTTAAAAATATATTAAAATGACTAATATTTATTTTATTAATTCCTTTTTTTATATTTGTAAAAATAATTAATTTTTTTTATTTTTAATGTGATTTAATTTTTTTTAAATATATATATTAGCAAATTTTATGATTAAAATTAATAAAAATTTAATTTAAAAAAAGTAATTATTTTTTTAAAATTATTAAATAAATAAATAGATAAAATAATTTTTTTTAAAAAAAATATTAAATTTAAAGAATAAAAATTATTTTTAAATTAAAAATAATATTTTTTATTTATAACAAAACAAAAATAAATTATAATGAGATTTATTTTACTAAATAAATAATAGTTTGTCAAAAAAAAAAATATGTAAAAACATAAAATTAATGTTTTAAATAACAAATAAAAATTAAATTTTTAAAAAGTAGGGAAACTAAAATATATTAGTATATTATTAATACAAAAAATGATTAAAAAATATAAAAAAATGCACAAATTAAAAATTATAGTTTATAAAATTGTGATTATAATATAATTAAAATTTATTATTGCAAATTCATGATACAAAAAATATTATAAATATAAATATAAATATAAATATTTAATTTTTATATATATATGTTTAACTATTTATTTATATATATATATAAACAAAAATATATATATATACATTTTATTTAATAGAATTATAAATAATATAATTTATTTATTTTTTAATTTTTATAACATATTTTTTTTATTATAAATTGTTTTATAGATACTTAAATAAAAATAATATATTTATAAATTTTTAAATAACATATGAAATAAAAAATATTTATTTTTAAAATAATAGAATTTTCATAATTTATTTTATGAAGGCATTTTAGTTTTGCAATCTTTTCCTTAAAATCCTTTTGCACAATAACATATACTATTTAAGCAATATCCATTTGATATCCATTTGCACTACAGAAATTAGTACACATTTTTTTAAATCCACAAAAATCTGATATATTTGCAGGGCATTATATTTATCCACTATATCCTTAAACTTTAAAAATTTCTAAATTTTCCTTACAAACAATTTTAATTTATCCAACCCAAATATTTACTTATTATTTATTAGAACTACATTCATATTTATAACAATAACCTGACATTTTAATTATTTGACTTTAGCTATTTTTTATATTCTATAAATTCCCGTTAAAACATCTGGAATCAGTCCCAAATTTAACTCCAAAATTTATCTAAGTTCTTACATTGCATGCATTACTTTATTTATCCCAGCATCTTAAATTCACGTAATTATTTAAAGTAATTACAATCAGCATCATTTTAATAGCCAACTTTACAAATAGAAGATCCATGATGGTAAAAATCACATAAATCCTAGTCATTTTTAGAATCACAATATTCTTTTGCTGATGGATTACATTTGCCTAAAATGTGTTCACATCCTGCTCCTTTTCCATAGAATGTCTTTTCTTCCATAAAGGCGTTGATTTGAAAATAGAAACCTGTGTCTCTTAAAAGATTAGCTGTAAAACCACTATAATAAGCTTAAGTAGTTGATGTAAATGAATTCATGTATTCGTTTTAAATGTCTGTGCTTTTCCAATGCGAATCTGCAGATCTGAAGTCGTCTGAAAAATCTAAAGGCATACCAATTAAAGTAGGACATCCGAAATATTGACGAGCAAACTACAAAATGTTAGGAGTTTTAATTAGTAAATATTCAACTCCCCTTATAGATTTTATAATAGTAGGTTCAATATGAAGAGTTTTATTATGAGTTATCCATTTAGGTATATCTAAATTACTAAAACCCAAAATATGAGTAATTTCATGGATAAGTAATTCCATTAAAACTTCAAATTCTATAGGATCATTAATATTTTTTTTTCCCATTAAATTTAAATTGAAGTTAACTTCACCATGAGTAGGTCCTAGACCATCAACAAATTAACACCAACTAGCTGCGGCTAAATAATCATCATTTTCATAATTTGTATATGATACATATATATGTAAATCAGAGTTTTTTCCCTAAATTTTATCATTTTAAGGAATAGTTACTTCCCCGCATTTGGGATTACTTTATTTATATCTCATGTTTGGTTCAGATTTTGGGATTATTTTTATTAACAATTGCTAATTATATAACTTTCTCAACAGTAGAAGTTAACATTTTATTTTTCTCATTAGAAGCTAATGTTTTGTAAAAACTTATATCGTAGCTAATTATCATATTACGGGGTTATAGATTTTGTAAATTACGGATATCTAAAGATTCCTAATCAGGAGGGATTGATTTGTATTTCTAGAGTTTTTTAATTTTATCGTGTTAACATTTATGCTTAAGGACTTTTAGACTTAAAATGCAGGTTATTAATAATAGGGTTATTATAAGTATATTATTTATTATTTTTTTGTATTTTTGTATTTTTTTTTATTTAAATCAACTGGATTTTATAAAATCTACATATTTATCTTATTTTTAATTAATCAAATTTTATTTTTATAATTAAATATTTATCCAGTATATTGAATTGAAATTATTAAATCAAAATTTTGATTCGATAATTAATTATTAATTAATTTTGCATATGATTAAAATTATATCAAATATGTAAAAAATCATAAAATATTATAAATTAATAAAATATTTTATATATATAAATGATATAAGTTTATAAATAATGGATATTATTAATTATTATAATATCTATTTAATATTTAATAAATCTAAAAATGTTTTAAATATGTATATTTATAAATATTTAAGCAAAATGGAAATAAAATTGATAATTTAAAATATATTTTTATTTTATATTGCATATATATTTAATTAAAATATATTTATGATATATTATAGATATTTTTTTTAAATTATATTATTTATTTATAATTTTTTCAATTGTAAATGTTAAATCATTAATGATATAAATAGTAATAACATTTATAATTCATAATAATTATTTTTTTTAATAAACACGGCTACATGTTTTATTAATTATTTTTTTAATTCATTTAAATAAAATTAATAATTTTTTTTTTATTATATTTAAAAAAAAAAAAATTAGAATTTAATTTATTATAAGTTTATACAAATAAAAAAATAAATAAAATCACAATTAAACAAATGATGATTTGAAAAATTTAAAATCTTCAAAACTACAATGATCAATTTGTAGAAATTATAAATATGAAATATTAAATTAAATATTCTTTAAAATATAAAAATTAATTTTTTTCTATTTTTTTAAACAAACAAAAACAATATACATTAAAATTAACAAAAGATATTTATTTTTAAAAAAAAAAATACAGAAAATAAATATATATATTATTTATATTTTATAAATATAGAAATTCTAAAATATTATAATAAACATAAATATATATTTTATTTATATTAATAGATATTTTTTTTTTTTAAATATTTTAAAAAAAATATTATATTTATTTTTTTTGTAACATTTAAACCTATAATTAATTATATTTTTTATAATGATTATAATAATATTTATTATTTATTTATCATATAATATTTTTATTTTCCTGCATTTTTTTTTCTAAATGTATTCTAACAATAATTTTCTTCAAATACCAATATATCACACATAATAATGAATTTTCAGACATTTTTTTCACAAAATAATAAAATACTTATTATAATATTAAAAAGTGAATTTTATTATTTTAAAAATTTATACTATAATCCTTTATAAAATCTTAACTGTTTTTCTCTTTTAATAATATAGTACCAAGATCTGAATAATTATGAGCTTTAAAATGGAATTCAAAATAATTTTGATAAGTAAGTTAATATTTCTTAAATATCAAAGTTCAATGAAAGATTCCTGATTTTCATATATATGTATAATTTTAAATATAATCAATATAAATTTATTTCGTCTATGATGGCTTATAATCTTTATTTCTTTATTGGTCTAGGACATACTTATAAATAAAGTTAATTTTAATTTAAGGTTTAATTAGCAAGTTAAAATATGAATGATTCTATTAATTTAAAGATATAATAATAAAAATAGTTATCTATTAATGCATACTATTATTTTGTGTTTTAATAATACTTAATGCTTAAAAGTGTAATTCTTAATTAATAGTTTATTATATTATAAATAAAGTCAGTAGTTTACTTTTAATGTTTTTATATTTCCTATATCCTAACTTAGTTAGTATAGCTTTAGATAATTTAAAAGGCTTATGTTTTGCAGGATCTCATCGGAAAAACTCAATCATATATAAAAAAAAATATATATATTTGTATAAATTACTTTGTCTTATTTTATTGGTTTACAGCCAATTATTTAAAAGACACAATTTATGCTGTAATAAACATCTTTATTTAAAGAAAAGATATCCTATGGATAAGTTGGAGTCTATTAACATATAATTGGCTAATGCAATTAATAAAATGTATTATGTGAATGTTAAAATAATAGGACCATTTAAATGTTTATCTGGTAATTTAACAATCATGGCTATATAATTTTGATATCTATAAGAGTACAAAATGCTAGGATATTAAAATTAATATAAGTGAAATAAATAATTCAGGATGCAGAATGAGTTTAACTTAGAGTTAAAAGGGGATTTTTAAACTCAAATATATTAAAGGAATGACAAAATACAAAATATTCAAAATAAATATTAGATGAAGTAAATATGAATATAAAATTAATTGATAATATATAACTATTTATTTACAAAATTAAAAATTAAAGAGATATAATGTAAAAAATTAAAGTATTGAAAATATACACTTATTGTGTGAGTTTGAAAAATTAAGTATTAACTACTATAATTCAATAAATTATTGCTTAAAAAATAATTTTTATTAAATAAAAAAATAATTTTTAAAAAAAAATACAATAATAAAAATTTCTTTTAGAAAGAAATAAAGTTTATATTATTAAGTAAACTGGTTTTATATTATAAATATTTAGCATTATTATTTAGTTTTATTTATAAAAAAATTACATAATTAATATTTTCTTTTTTACTTATTTAATAATAGTTTTTTTTCATATAAAATTATTTTTTATAAATAAAATAAATATCAAATATATATATAAAAAAATTTAATTAATATATATAAAAATAATGATTATGAATAAAAGTAAAAAATTATTTTATAAAAAAAAATAATATATAATTAAAAAAATTGTTTACTTATTTTATATATAGTAAATAAATATTAAAATGTAGAAAAATATATATCGCATTTAAAAAAATAAAATGTATTTAAGATTTAAAAGGTTAAATTTATAGTAAAAAAATTAATGCATAAAACAAAGAATGCATTTAATCAATTTATATAAAAAAAAGAACAAATAAATATAAAACATTAATTTTTATATATTATAAATAAAAAAAAAATATAGATAATTATATATTTATAATAATATATATATATATTTAAATATATATATAATATATATATATTATATATATATTATATATATATTTCTAATATAATATTATATATTAAAAAATTTTTATAATATTATATCTTTTAAATTAAAAAAAAAATATTTAAGTTTTATAAAATTACATAGTTTTTAGAAAGGTTATCTTATTTACTTATATTACTAATTAACATTGTATATTTTATTTTATTTATCTATAATTCAAAAAAAAAGAAGAGAGCCAATATTTATTTTTATTTTTATCGATTGAGTTTTTTTTTTTTTATAAAAAATAAAATAAAATTAAAAATTAATATATGCATCATAATATTATTCTGATTAAACAATTCAAAGTTTTTCATAGTTAATTTTAGAATTTCTAGGACATAATCATGATTTTAATAACTTAAAATTAAGTTAATTTTCAAGATATATATTTTTATATCCTATTTAATTTGAATATAAAATTGAATTAGTAAATTGCGAACAAAATAACTCATATTTTAGTTTTAGCCATATAATATTTAAATGAATAATTTATTAAAATAATTTTTTATATATTTGAAAGAATAATATATTTAAATTATATTAATTAAATATTTAAAATCTAATATTTAATAAAAATATTAAATAAAATAACATTTTTTATTTTTTATGAAAAGCTTATTTAACAAAAACATATTTTTTTATTTTTTTGTAAGAATATATATAAAAAAATATTTTTTTAAAAAAAATCTTATTAATTAAAAGAATAAATTCTATATTTGTGAATTTTTTTTTCATAAAGATAAATACAAATATTATAGTATATACTGTATAAAAAGCATTCTCTTTATAAGAATTATATTTAAAAATTAATTTAAAACTCATATAAATAAATTAAAAACAAATTTCTTAAGAATGGAAACTATTATTTAAATTTAAAGAAAATATAAAATATTAAATGAATATATAAATAAAAAAATATTTAATACAAATATTGAGTTTAGATGATAAAACTTCGTTAAATATATATATTTTTTACTTAATTAAAAAGGTTATGTAAAAAAAAAATATACATTTATTATTAATTATTAATAAATTGTTAAATATATAATTAGATTAAAATTAAAAGATAAAATTATTTTATTATTTTATTTAAAAATAAAAATAAAAATGAAATGAAATATAAAAAATCTTAGAAAAATAAAAAAAAATTAATATATATAATTATATATAAAAAATATACATTATTATTAATATATATTTTTTTTTAATTATATAAATATAATGATATAAATTATTAAAAAATAATATATATTATAATTAATATTAATATTTATTATATTTAAGATTTAAATTTTATTCAAACAAAAAAATAAATATATATTTATATATCTATAATTATCAAAAAATTATTAATAAATAAAAATAAAATAATATTTAATAATATGAAAATATAAATATATAAATAAAAAAAATATTTATATAAAAAGTATAAAAATATAAATATATAAATAATATATAATATATAATATATATATAATATATAATATATAATATATAAAATATAATATTTAATATATATTATTTAATATCCATTTTACAATATTTTTTTTTTATATATATTTCATTTTATTATATATAAATCTTTTTAAAAAATTTTAATAAATTTGATTCATATTTTTTTCTTTTATT